CTACTCATACAAAATAAAATATGAAAAGATTTATCACTCCCATAATGAGGCTTTTGGGGAAAGGAGTGTGCCTGAACAGGTAAAGGTGCTAGCTTGGGCTTTTATAGTCATGTGGAAGTAGGGCTAGAATGAAAGCTCCATGGATAGACTGTGGACAGGTCTTAACTTCTGGCTGGCACCAGAAGTGGAAGCACTTGAGCTTTCTTACGAGCACGTACAGATATGGGGGCAATGGAGGAATCATGAGTTTTGAAAACTATTGACAAATGTTAAAAACTGAGTCAGATTCTACCACAGTTACCGAGACTAGAAAATCTATTTGGTCTAAGCTATTGAGGGAAATTTGTATTTAGAGTTAATTTCATGCTACTTCCAGATTTTTTAAAAGGCATTAGACTTATTGATGAAACAATGCTGATCAGTGAAACCTATTAAGGAGACACATTAGAAAACTGAGAGGACATTTTCACACCGTGCCCTCCACCTCTAAGAATCCAAGGAGATTCTAATCCATATTGAAACACTTCCTTAAGAATGAAGCCTCACTGAGCCATTGTTTACTGAGACATGACATGGCCTAGGACAAGGAAAAGAACCACTTGAATTATTACTCATAGTAAGGTCACAGACAAGTTGATCTCTAGACCTCAAATTTCTCATACTTACTATTGTTATATGTCTCTTCATGATTTTCCACCTACTTTCAAGGTTCTTCAGCAGCCAGGTCCTCTAAGCTTGGAAGTCTTTGCTCAAACACTTGACACAGTATTTCATTTATAATTTATCCTATTATTCAGTGTATTTGTATTATTTGTATATCTCATTCTGCAGCTAGACCGCAAGCTACCTGACTGCAAAATACATGACTGATTTATGTTTGCATTCATTACTCTAATAAACAGTAATACCTTATATGTTAAATGAATAAATGAACAAATAGTATTTCAGATCTTCTTATTCTGTAATGTTATAGTCACTAGAAAATATGTAATGTTATAGTCACTAGAAGAAAATCGTAACTTTACCTGTAGAGGGAAAAACATGCACTTGACTTATAAAATCTTCATTTTTAATCAAAATTTCAGTGATTTTAATCATTTTAATCAAAATTTCACCACTAAATAACTTTCCTTAAGGATAGAGGTCCAGACTCTTTACTAGTTTTGTATTTTCCCTGTATCATAAAAACTGAGACTAACTTCCAGATATGTAATTTAAAAAATGTCTCATTTTATGCTGCTAAGTGTTTTATGCTTATCACCCTTTCACAATATTGCAGTGAAGGGTGGAACAGAATCATTGTATTATATGTGAGGAAACCGAGACTGAGAGCTAAGTGGTGTAATGATCATAGAGACAATAAGCAGGGGAAGCACGACCAAACTTAGGAATTCCTTTCCATCTAACAGTACTATTTGTGGCTATTTTTGTAATTCGAGTTAATAAATGTTGATTTGGAGGGAAAATCTTTTTAACATACCCATCTACAAGAAGTTATGAATGTCTCTAACCTTTTATAAGTTTTTTCTGCAGATTTATCTATACAGTATCTGCATATAACCTTTTAAAAAATCCTGATATTATTTACCTCAGAAAATCAAGATGCTTTCTCTTAATTGCTTTGATCAAATAATTATACTTGAGGTTTTGTGTGCAGCTTTCCTAGTGGGATGTACTACTGAGTGAGTTTTGTCTCAGCACCTCCAGAAATATCTCTTTTGGCAAGACTTTTTAATTAAGAAGCCAACCAGTGCTGAATATGTTGTCAAGTCACCAATACAGGTGTGAAATCTTTCCTAGGATGTGTATGAGTTCATCATGAGGGGAAAGGAAGACTTTGTCCTGCATAATGAAGTCACATTTTCAAAATTAAGTACATTGCATGTAGTATTCCACAATTGTTTAATTCTCACCACGGCTGTTCTTTAAAATGCAAACTTTCATTTCCTTTTACAAGATGAGGAAACTATAGATTAGTAGGGAAGCAACTGCCAGTAAGTGAGACAAGGTAACAATAGTCGGGGTAGAGAAGCAATTGGACCAAGGTGAGACTGATTCTAAAGTGCAAGTTTTTTCTACTATTCTAGTTAAGTAATACTATGCAAAAAGTTTGGGAGAAAAAAATCACATTTTGCATCGATTAATAAATTAAACTTTTAGAGCTAGAAGGGATTTTGGCAATTTGATTCAACATTCTTATTTTATAGATAGGGAAATTGATACTCAGAGATGTGGTGATTGCCTGAGGTCCAGTAGCTAGCTAGTTGAGTGGCAGTGCTGTAATTCAGACAAAAAGGTTTGACTCTAAGTCCAGTGATCTTCCCACTAGAATGCACTTCAGTCCCAGAGCTGCCTACCCTCATACTTAGACAAGGTCCCATGAATATTAATGCTATTGACAAGATAAAGCCATAGGTCTGGAGTCTTAAGTGTGTGTTTTGCTAAAAGGCTACCTCACCACTGCTCTAATTGTAAAATTCATCCAAGTATCTGCTGCTTCACATCTGTAATTTGTTTTGAGATCCCTTGAGGGGCTTCATATTCTGAGTGTAAGACCTGATTTGAGACCTGAGTCTCATGTTAGCTGTTTTCCATTTGCATCTTACAGAGCTCAGTAGCATTTCACTTTTAAGATGCTATTAATAACTAGGTTAAAAAGTAAGCATTGCTTGTCTTTCAGAAATGCCTTATAGTTCAAGCTGAGTTTATTCTGATTGGAACAATGGAGTGCCTCTCTGCAGAGCAGCTCAGACTGAGGCATACATTTGAATTGCCTTCACATTAACTCAAGACACAGTCTATGCTAGGCCTTTAAAGAAGTGCAAAATGACAAAATATGGGTTTCAAGTACATTAGGTAAGAAACTGTCGGATAATTTATGAAAAATACATGTTCATATATTTTTTTTTTCTAAACACTTGGAAAAGTACCTGGCCTACAGTAGGTGCTCAATTAAAAGCTTAATTAATCATTGCTCCAATACTTCAAATTTTATAGACCTAAAGAAAATGACACAAGATTACTCAACCTAGGTCAACTGTTTGCTATTTGTTATTTAAAACCTCTTTAAAGGGGCTTATCTGAGAATGGCATTTTATCAAATACAGGAAGTCTGCACTAAGAAACCTCAAATTACCATAGCCACCATTAAGTTGGATAGATAACTTCAGTGAGTGAAGTAAATGAGAAGATACTTTATACTAGGCACATTTTATATGTGCTAGTAGCTAAAGACTAATTGCCAATAAAGCTCAGATACTATATATGGAAAAATATTAAAACAATGATTAATACGATACTAGAAATATAAATAGCTAGTAGACTACCAAAGGTGACGATTTGTTTGGAGATGTATAGTTAAAATGCCTGAGAAATGTTTTGGTTGCCAATAGAAACCTGTACAGCAACAAGGTAGGCAAGAAGAAAAGAACTGATTGGTGGTGTTGTACCACCTCACATTACTGAAATGCTTTTCTGAGCAACTCAATAAGGAAGTTAATGCAGTTATCATTTCTCAAACACATCTGTTAGTTTTCACATGTTATCTCACACCATTTCAGGAAGCAGGGGTCATTTGTATCATTCTTCAGAGTTAAGTGATTTGTCCAAGGCCACATGGCTAAAGAGATGCAACTGAAAAATTAGGACTGCTGTATTTCACTGGCTTAACAAAGGTATACTGTAGATTCACTAGTGTTTTATAATGGTAGCACAGAGACAGTGGGAGGAGGGAGGAAGTAGCCTGTTCTCTAGCCTTACAAATCTGCCTAAGCCACAGCCAGTGTTCTTTAGTCTCCTTTACATCACAGAGTTGCCCATATGACTTTATTTGGATAAAATTCCACTGCTTTAAAAAGCAAATCAAAACAAAACAAACCAACTACTGTGAGAAAATTAAGTTTCCTGGGACCATACTCTCCAATGTAGTTAACATGGCAGATAATTGAAAATTGTACCAAGCAAAGCCCCAAAGATTCATATCAATGAGTAAAAAGAAGTAAAAACATTCAGACCACATTTTAAGCCTGCAGATATTCATTTTACTTGAGTATGACTATAGTTTAGAAATGGGGATAGATCCAATTCCTGAATGCCAATAATGTAATCCAATTCCTGAGTGCCAAATAATAGCACTTTCTTCCCAAAGTACAGGCTGCTGGAGGATTCCTGGCCTTGTTTACCTCAAGCCAGCTCACATATTCAATTTTTTCCGGTACAAACTGTATGATAAAGGTCTGGCTGCTATTATTGCCTCAGCAAAGCTCCCTGCTGACAGCAAAGACAGATCTCCTGCTGTTGGGTGCCACCAGATAAAACGGCTCTAATAACTATTGATGTACTTTTAATTGGATCAGTTTCCTTTCAATTATACAATCTTTGAAAATCAGATGCAATTTCATAATCAGAATATAGAGCTTTCTCTTAGATGAAAAGCAAAAGACAAACTACTTCAATATCACATGAATCCCTTACTTGTCTGGTGACAACTAATCACAACTGAAGGGGATGGGGAGGCAACACTGCTAATTCTAAAAGTAATTATGAATAGCTCAGTTTAGAAATTTTGCTTCTGTGAAAGCAAGGGACTATTTTGCTTGTGCCTTTTGCCACCATCTCTGCATTTAAAAATCAAGATATGCTGGTGTTTTACTAAAACATCAGTTATGGAATCTCATCACAGATTCTTTCACATTTAGTTTTAAATGTGCAAGACTATTTTTCTTTTTTAAACTGTAATTATAATAATTAAACACATACATATGGTAGAGGCTCAATTTTGAACAGGGTGATTCCAAACGTTGGGGCTGATTCTGTTCACATGTGTAAGTAAGATTTGCATTATCTTTACATAATGGTGCTTTTGGTTGAATTTTAATTTGGGTAGACCACTATGCTTTCAAAGAACAGTATCAGACAGGAAACAAAACAGCATGGTACAAGTTATCCTTCTCCTTGCCTTCCAAATCCTGTATTTAATTAAAAGACATGCATACCACTGATAAAGAAACAATTATCAATTATTTAATGCTTGAAAGAACTGATATAAATTCCAAAGCCAAATATTATGCTCTTACTTGAGGAAAATACAGAATACCCAACAGTTGTCTGTTTTTGTAATGAAAATGACTGTGTCTACCTCTCCACTTTGTTGGCCATCGCCTGTGTCCTACAATTCCTCAAACAACTTCTATTACAGGTTGCTAGAAAGAGTATGAAACATGAGTCCTAGACACTCTTAAGTTTACTGGCTATTTGAGCATATAAATTTGCTTAGTCCCATCTTCCTATGGTGTGGCATAATTTCACATGTTCCTTCAAAAGGCAAATAGTTCGCACTGAAGTCTTCAACACTAACCAGCTAGGATCAATCCATTCTCTGGAACATCCGCACTAATAGACTAATCCAAGATGGCACAAATTGCCCAGCCAAAAAGGTATTCTTTTCCTAAGGGATACTGTACCTTGGTGGCACTTAATAAATGTACTTTCACATTGATAAAGGTCATTAACCTAAGATATCATGCTGCAGGGGTAGATGTCTGAAATGTCACTGAAAGACTAAGCAGATCCAGCTGGAGCATGCACATGGAATGCAACCAGAGTCAAAGAGGAGGTTCCACAGATCAAACACATTATATTAAAGAAACAGTGTACCAGTGACAACGACATCATAACCAAAAGGAAAAAGAAAATCAACAAAGATTCATTACAGGGACAAATTTATAATACAGGGGCTAAAGTAGATCTACTGAAGCCATGAAGTGACTAATTTCTAATCAAACTTCGGTTAACACCATCATGAGTCCTATTTGGGGAATCTGTTAAAGCTCTAAATTTATTGGGACAGTATGGGGAGAAGGGAATAACAAACACTAAAAACTAGAGCTTCTAAAATTCCAGGACAAGCCAGTTGGAATCAAAGACATACACCAAGTCTACTCTATGGTACCATCAATAACTGAAAACTAAGGGAAGGAAAGTTGACTTGGATACAGGTGAAAATGGTATTTCTCGTCATCTAAGGGGTAGAATATCTTCTCAGATGGTAGCTGTAGATTTTGATGCAATGATCCCAACAATCCAAGACCAACAGCTGCCCTTTAGGAGTGAGGGCAATGCCCACGGGACAGGTGAGCCCCTCTCGAATGAGGACACTATAGCCCCCACCCTTAGGGAAATGCAGGATTTCCTTGCGACTACTATCAGCCACGATGAGGTCACCACGAGCATCCACACACATGCCAGCAATGCAGCGGAAATCCTCATTTTCTGAGAAGAAGTGGCTAATCTGGCGACCGAGCTGCCCATCAGGGCCCACAGAACCAATGGAAAAACCACCCTCCAGGTGGTGCTCATTCTGCCGATTTTCCAGATTGAGGCCCAATCCCTGGGTGAAGTAGACAGTGCCTTCAGCATCACAGGTGACAAATTTGGGACGCACAGCACTGCAGAGGCAGCTGTATTTGACCACCCCTCCTCCTCGGTCAACAGTGAAACACCAAAGCTTCCCACCTTCCACATCAGTTACCACAAACTGGCCAGACGGCAGGGCTGTGATGCCCCATGGTTTGCTCAGCTGGCTCCTGTGACAGGCCAAGCAGTGGCCATCCAAGGTATATACCTTGAGGGAGTTGTCATAGCTGTCAGTCACACCGATCAGCCCATTGCAGTTCATGGCCACTGAAAGAGGAGTGAGATTGGGCAAATCAGCCCCAAGGAAGCTTAACACAAAACTATCAATGCCACTGGGGCTGCGGCGGATTTCCTTCAAAAAGCCTTTGCGAGTGAAGACTTGTATTCGGTAGTTGCCACGGTCAGCGACCAGTACTTCGCCTTGACTGGTCACATAGAGGCTGACTGGAAGATTAAACATGCCTGGAGTGCTGCCCTTTGCCCCCATTTTCTTGAGAAAGACGCACTGCTGGATATTGGAGGCTGCCTCAGAACCTCTCTGTTTGGCAGGTGAAGCCTTAGGGCTGGCAACTACTTCCTCAGGGCTCATGTCCATCTCTCTAAAAGTAACAGAGGTAGAGGCAGCAGAAGCTGCAGCCTCCATGGCCCAGGAATCTTCCATGTTAACTGTCCGAGGCTTCTTAACAGCCTGCCCAATTTGGAGAGGGCCAACGTGGCCCACCTTCAGGAGCTCCACATCTTGCAGGGTGAGTTCCCGGGGCAAGCTGGCAGTGAGTTCTGGCTCCTCTTCATCAGCTGTCTCTTCCAGTAGTGCTACATCAGCCTGCTTGATCTTGGCCAGAAAGTAGTCACAGCGAGACACAGCCTGCACCTCAGCAATGTTAAGCAGATAACTCTGTTCCTCTACCACTTGACTATTACACTTCTCAACTTCAGCCAGAGAGCCTGTGAAGAACTTCCGGGAGCGAGCCAGCTCCTCCTGGACCCTGCGTTCCTCATGCCCATACTCCTGAAGAACTGCTTTATATCTAGCTTGTAGGTCCTTAGAGACACCTTCTAAGGCTACCTTCCGCCGCTGCAGCTCACCCATCAGCTCCCGAAGACGGGTCAACTTTTCTCCAAAGTCCCGGCGCCGCTCCTCAGCTGCCTCTTTGACAGGCAGTGTATCATGGTTAGGAGGTTGGTGTTCTGCCTCCCGGCAGGGCTCACACAAAACCAAACCACAACTCCTGCAGAACTGCCGGGGCAGCCGCCGCCCACATGACCGACACATGAGCAGGCCCACGGCCTCACTGAGCCCAGCTGTGTCAATGATCTTCAGCACTGTCAGGTTGTCTGTGAGCTGTGTAAGGCTTGTTATGCGCGTAATCTTGCTGCAAAAGGGGCATCGAACACCATTGATGCTACTGGCCAGTAGCTTTTCCAGGCACTGGCGGCAGATGGTGTGGCCACAGTGTAGGAGTTTGGGCCGCAGCTGCTCTTCTGTGAAGGACTCCATACAAATAGGGCATTCCAGTACTTCCCGGAGGGCATCGAGGTTCAGGTGAGAAGCGGCTGCTGTAGCCATGGCTCTCCTGATGCTCTTGCTAGCACAGCACAGAACTGAATAGCTTAGTATTCATGCCCCACAGAATCAAATTCCTGCTAAAGAGAAAAAGAAACCATTATTCATTTTCCACTGTCCAAATAAATTAATTTTGTTAAGAAACATTTAGAGAAAAGCTATGCTCATTCAGTCACTCACTCATCTAACTAACATATATTAAGGTCTATTATGCAGCAGGTGATGGAGACACAAAGCAAAACAAAGCTACAAAGCACTACATCAAAGATAGAAGCTCAAGAAGTAATGCTAACTCCCTAAAGTTGTTTCTTCATCACTCACTTGAGAAACTAATACAATGGTGTCTCTTTTATAGTAAGATTTTTTATTAGGTCACAGGGTTTACTATATCATGTTTGGTGATTAGGAACTATTCAGAAAACAAAGTTTTGAAGTTGTGATCATTAGCTTTAGGTGATCTGCAAAACATTAGACCAGAAAATGCATATTTTCCGTTGACCTATTTTCCTACCTATGCACCTACCCATCTATCTTACTCTAGGAATCAGGCACTATAATAGATACCAAGAGGTGTTTAGGATATAGATTGTGTTCTTCAGATGCTCAAACTTTAAAAAGAAGATATGTAAAAAATCAAGGTAGAGGATAGTATCATAAATGGGCTATAAATAAAAAATGATGGCAGTTAAGATGAATTCACTCTATGTTGAAAGAAAGCAGAATTTTCAGAGGGAAGATGCCATTTGATGTGAGCCTTTAAGAATGCATATAAGTATACAGATGGGGGATACAAGTAATCAGCAAAGTATACAGCCTTAAGCGTGGCTGGAAAGCAGGGGCAAAGACAAGTATTCTGTGCTGCAAAGAGAACAGAATACCCTTAACCTCTGTTCTATTTTCTGACCTGTAAAATGTAAATAATGCACTTACAGGATGAAGGATTAAATTATATATATATATATACTACTGTATATGGAACACTAAATTATGGGAGCCTTTAGGGAAAACAGATTACAAGGTTTGGAAATGCAAACTGGGAAATGACTCTAAAAGATCTTCAGAGGCAAAATACGAGGTTTTGAAATCTGTTTTGAAGGGCATGGTGAAGCCATGTGTTCTGGAGCAGGGAACTGATAGAATGGAGTCAGGACAAAGAAATCAGAGCAACTAGTTCGGAAGCAACTGCAAAATAGCCTGAAGCAGATAACAGGAGTCTGACCTATGGAGCAGATATTAATAGAAAGAAGATATATTTGACCACTATTTCAGAAATATAATTGGTAAGACTTAGAAACTGAGTAGATTATGATGAGGGAGTGGAGTGCTACAATGGCCAAATATTCAAGCCTGGATGATTTAAAAAATAGTACTTCTTTATCAAGACATTATATTTCTGGCTTGGAATCCTCTTGCTTCAGCCAGTATGTATTATGAACATTCCCAGCCTCCTCACATATGTGCATAAGTCTGACTTAGTGAGATCTGCAGCCTTTTTTCATTGCCGAATTACAGGCCAATTAGAATGAATATAACTAGCAAGGTGATGCACATGGCTAAACACAGACCTCTTAAATGCAAATCCTATAGCAGCTGCACCTGTGCACTCTCATCACCTATGGATGGCCCACTGTCAAGGAGATGGTAAAGGATCAGTTAGCTTGGTTTTAAGAGCAATGTAGCTACCTAAGGTAAGCTTTGCTCTTATCAACTTAAATGTACATGTTGAGCTACATATTACAACTACTTTCTACCATCTTTAGCTTTGGGCTGCAATTTCACAAGTAGCAGCAAACATCTGCAATTTATCTAAAGTCAATCTTACCTCCCTGAAGTCCCCCTACTGCAAGGAATTCATCTAGTATTCATTCTACTGTGTGCTAGATAGCAAGGCAGGTGTTTCAAATGCTTAATCTCATTTAATACTTATAATGACACTTTCAAATACATTTTTTCATTATTCTACTTTACAGATAAAAAAATTAAAGTTCATAAAAACTAGCTCAAGGTCATGCAGTTCAAACATGGTGGTACTGTACAGAACAGATATCTTTGTTTTCTAGGCCAATAGAGCAAGCCTTGGGAAATGTTGCCTTTATAACATATAATTCTCATTCTTCTCATGAAAGAGAAGACTAGGATCCAAGTCCATGTTTCAACAAAATACAAAATCAGCACACGTTATGAACCTAAAATGCTTTACGTGGATATCTATAAAGGACAAATTCTTGTACCTCATGCATCTGGGGGCACCAGTATAGAAATTCCGATAGAAACCCCAACACAGGATCCATGCGAACCTTCTCAATTCTAAACCAATAGCTTCACTGTCTCTCTTTTATCATCTGGGACAACAGACTGAGGGCAACATTCGGTGTTTGGATCCAGAGCTTGTTACCTTACAATGTGCAGGGACATCTGTTCTTTCCAGAGCTGGCACTGCAGATCAGATAATTAAACAAGGCTGCCAACTTGTAAAAATACAGTACCAGCAAATTCTTTCCCTAGCTTTTGGGAATATCATACCACTTCCTTCAAATAAAAAGCTTCCTGCCTTTCTGTCTCAATCATCAGCTTTAAAAAATGAATTTACTATGCTCACATCTATACCCCAAATTATCTCACCTGTCTAAAGCACACCACGTCCTTGCAGGATGGGAAAAATTTCTGCACTGAAGCTGCCATGCTTTGCTAGGGAAACATAAGCTCTTTTTATTAAAGAAATATCAGGCATGAAGAGTCTTAGTCCTGGAAAAAATCCAAATCATGACCTAAAAACACAGCTTGCAGAAGGTTGTTAGCCTGAAATAGAAGAAACAGGCAGAGGCAGCTTCTGTCCTCAAGAGAATGTGGTCATAACTGTTAATACTAAGAATGACTCATATGGAAGCTCAGTTGGACATCACACGATACAAGTGAAAAGAACTGCCTTATCACGCAAGGCCTTTAAGTATGCTGCCCATTTTAACCAGCTATAAGATCTGTGACCAACCAGAATGAAACCACAACATTTATATTTTTAGCCATTTTAATCTCTTACACGGTTTTACTGCATCCTTTGTATTGTCAAGATTTAATCTCTGACCTCCTCTAACCTCAAGTACCTTCTTCCTTCACCTCTTTGATGTGATGATTTATATACTACAAATACCATAATGATATGAACACTTTTTTTGGACTCCAAAAGAAAAACGTACTCCTTAATCTATGTCTATTTTGACTGTCCAAAGACTCAGGAAATTGTTTTAATATTATCCCAGCCTGGTTAGTTTCTTATGGTACCACCAGGTTTTCCATAGTACATGAAATAAATGATTAGGATATTAGAGAAGCAAAGGACAAACAAAACAAAAGCAACATAAATTCTGCAGTCAGACAGAACTGAGATCAAATCTTAGCACATTCATTGAAAGACGTGGAATAAGTGCAAGTTGTTAACTTATTTAAACCTGTTTCATTTAATTTATAAAACATTACCATAATGACTAGGGATAACAGACATAAATTACTTAGCTTGATACTGATAAGAATGCAATAAAAGGGTGCCTTTTACCATAATTTTAACAATCAGGAACAGCATTAACAATGACCATCAGTACTACGGATATTAACCAACAATTCAATTTACAACTAAAGTCTGAAAGACTGAAGAACTTAACTTTCCATGGGAAGTAAAGGCACATGAAGATTAATAAAAGGCCTGGTAAGTTATGGAGGAATTTGGTTAAGCATGATAAACATCCAGACTAAAAGCTTATAGAGAACTAATTCACAACTTCTCTTGACCCAAAGTAAAATGCTATAGTTGCTTCCAGAGAGACTAAACATAGACTGTTCCCATCAGACTGTTATTTGTCTAAAACTAGACATGTAGTGATCTCAAAGAGTAATATATATGAGAAAACTGAGACCAGAAGAGGGAAATTAAGCACATAAATCATTCAGCAGAATGATAAAAGGCAGTGAGCAGTATTGCATAGATTAAGGAAGTGGACCTAGGAGTCAGGCATTCTGGAATTGAACCAAAACTCTAACTGGAGATTTGGGCAAGTTATTTAACTTCTTTAGTTGCCAGTTTAGCTATGAAAAGGGTCTCAAAAACAGTATCTTCCTCATATAGCTATTACAAAGTTTAAATGAGTTTATGTGTATAAAATAATATAGCTCCAAGCCAGGCATACAATTAGCTGTGCAGAAATAAAATTTTATTATTATTACTGGCAGTGGGACCAGCTACCACCTGCTACCACTAGCACTCATCCTATGAGAAGAAATGAAGAGACACTTTTCAATAGGCAAACTATACTTGAAGTATCACACACATTTAGAGAATATTCAGAATCTTGTTGGGAGATTGTTTTATCGAATGTCAAAAACAAAACTTAGGGGTGATCCAAGGTTTCAAATGTTCATTCACTGACTAAATCTCAGTCACAAGGTCTTTCTCTAAATGTGTCCACTTCATTGTCTGTATTTCCTGCACCATATCAGTGGCTCACTCACCTGCACTCATGGTGGCTTAGATCATGAGCTAAACTGGAGGACCTAAAACAATTAATTAAAACAATCTTCACTGAGACCCAGCAACAAGTCCAGCTCCGTGGAAGGGACTGTTATTTTTGAGAAAGAAAGAGACAGGAAAAGTGCCTTCACATTAAATCCAGACAAGTAAAATACATTTCCTTTCACAAGCTTTGTTCATATACTCTAGTGGTTTGGCTGGGTTTTTTGCAAGGTTTATTACTTTCCCTTTCATGTCAGCTTTTGTATTTACTCCTCATACATTTTTTTTTTTAACAGAATGTTGATCAAATGCCTAACTACTTCCATGCCACAAAGGTCACTCAGGAAGTCAATGAGATTACTGCCTGACATCTACCCAGTCAGGGCATTTAAAACAGATGCACACAGCTAAGGAAGACAATGGCATGTTCCCAAAGTTTTGCCAGTATGGGACACTTAAACCAGAAGGAAATACGTCTGTGAAAAAGGAAACTTTTTTCATTCAACTGAATCAAGGTCAGGTTATAGCAACAACGGGGCTTCCTGAAAAAAACATTTGCCTGTTATTTCTGTCTTTCTCAAAATTTTTCTGAAAGAGCTAAAAAAAATGTTATGTGATCATCACAAAAATTTTGATAATATCTATACTGTCAATATAACTCACAGAATCTAAGACAAGGGGAAAAAAATTCAAGTCTTTTTCCAAGAAACTTCTCACTCAATCCATAGTTCATTTCTCTGCATTATGATCATTTAATCACAAGTTGTTTTCTAGTTTGTTAGTTTCTGCAATACTACGGATAAACTCAGGGCTTCTTTGGCAAGCCCTCTACCACTGAGCTACATCTCCAGCCCTGATCATGAAATTTTTGACTGAAAGATTAAGAAGCAGATACTGGGAATAATACAGTAGGGGATGGGAATTTGCAAACCACTTATGGTTATCAAAAATATGGCAAAACAGCACTTATGTCCCTTTCAGCTTTACCTTTATCCTGTAATTACTCATAAAACAGTTTATTTACTGAGTATCAGAAGCTTTTTATGCATCGCTCTTATTCTCAAAACTATGTGAAAAATGCTATTCTTCTTTACAAATAAGGAAAACAATGGTCCCTGAAAAGTGACCTATCCAAGGTCTACACACTGGTGAGCAGAACACAGATCAAAATGTCCATCTGTAAATGAAACCAGCCATAAAATCAGACTGATACACACATTATGCTTATCTAGCTGATTAGACAACCATTAATGCTAGTAATGACACCTAGGAAAGACTTTAAAATCTCACTTTTCTCTACTGTAGGACATAATGCAGGGCATGTCACGAAGGAAACATATCAGTGTGCACAGAAGACGATCCATCTCAAAAGCCTTATAAATTTTTGCTTTCCAACCACTCTCCAGATATAAGCATAGGGAAGTTTAAGTGTTGGGAAAGTTCTTCTAATAAAGCTAGCATAATGTAATCAGGAGTCAAACAGAACAAGAGTTTGCATTTCTCTCTAACGCCTTGCTAGGTAGCCTGGGTTAAGTCATTTAATTTACTAGTTTTCTGACCTATAAGGAGTAACACTTAAGATTGTTGGCAAAATTGCCAGGCAAGAGTTACTGAGACCTAATAAGCACTCAGTAAGTATACTTGTTTGTATTTTTAATAAATTGAGGCTGACTGAACAAATGCTTGACTAAGGTCATATAGAAAATTAGGCACCAAAGTAAAAAGTCTGAACTTTTAAGTTTTTGATTTCAAGATTAACTCAGTTCTCATGACATACCATTGTCAGGAGTGTGTGTGGTTATTCTAGCTAAATCTCCGTCTGAATTTGCTTGTAAATTAATTCTGACAATAGTATACCTAGCCTTTCAGTTATTGACAGAGCCAGTGCTACTATTCTGGCACAGAAGAAGGAAGCCCAAGGGATCATTCAGAACAGCAGTTACTCTCCTTCATGACCGCCTTCAGCCTGAACTACATGGTATATTTTGGTGGCAGTGGCCTCATCTTATAGGCCCTTCTACCTCATCAAGCCTCCTATCTTCAAGCTTCTTCCATTACCTCTCACACTGGCTTCTGTCTAACAGCAAGCCAAGAACAAAATCCAGAGCTTATCCCTATCTAAACAGAGCGATTTACCCTCCCTTAGAATTTACTTTGATATTCAGTGATACTCACTGGGTCATCATCCTTTTCATTAAGATAACAGGCTGAAAAAATAAGACTAAGCTGATGCCAGGAAACAAACAACAAACAAACAACTTCTCCAAAACAAAAACAAGAAACAGAAAGACAACAAATGTGAGAATGTATATTACAAGGATCTTAGATAAGAGCTTAACTCCAGCATTACTATGTCACCAAACTAGATACAGACATAAATTGGGATGTTATGAAAACTGAATCAGAAGCAGCTTGCACAACTCAGTGATACACCAAGAACCCTATCTCTTAAAAAACAAAACAAAAATAGAGTAAGAAGTGATATTAAAAACTAAAAAGTACTGATACACAAGCATTTACTATTGATTAAACATTAGGTACCCTGATTGATTCACTAAATCCTCACTATAATATCGTAATTCATTGCATCAAAAGGTAAGTAATTCACTCGAGACCAGTCAGCAAAACATAAGAGCCAGGATTTGAATCCAGAGTACCTGACTGTAGAGCAAAGTGTGTCAAATTTGACTCATTTTGGATCAGACAATACTCTGCTGTGAGAGCTATTCCATGCATTATAAGATAACAGCGTCTCTAGTGTCTATCCACCAGAGGCCAGTAGTACCTCCCCACCTGTGACTACTGAAAAAACGTTTCCAGTTGTTGCTAAATATCCTGTGAGGGATGAAATTACTCTTGGTTAAGAACTACTGCTTTAAAACATAGCATAGGTCTGAATGCACAATACAGGAGCCATCCCCCTCCTTTTGTTTTTCTCGCAGCCCAAATATTTCATTCAGAGGGCCACTGCCTCTTTGTGCTGTAATAAACCTTATAAGATTAATGTTCCACTTATTCTCATGCAGGTCTCACACATCTGCTATCACAACTTGGGGGTAGAGGGACAAGAAAGGGTAGCCAGATGACCTTGAATAGTCTCCTATCTTACCACTCTTATCTTTGACCATCCTTCTCTTCTCCAAAGACCAACACTTTCAGCAGGCACTGGAAAGAGTAGGATGGTCAAAGTGGAAGTAAGTGGCAGCATCATGCCTATCTTTGGAAAAAGGATTTTGGTCAGTAAGTGAGGAAGTCTCTGCCTTTCACATCTATGACTTTGTTGCTAAACCCCTGAATTCTGTTAAACTTCATACACTCATACATAGTTGCATAGATTACTGTTAGGTCCTTGGTCACCAGAACTCCTCCTACTTCCCATGCAGAGAGGTCAAGAAAATTTCTTCAGTAGTCCAGGGAACCAACCCACAAATCTATCCAAAGTCCTTTAATTCCATAGCCTTGTTAAGGAATCCTCAACCCACCATTCAATCTTCTCCAAATCCTGTTCCACCCTCTTACAATTCAGAATTTCAACCTTTTTGGCTGTATATTGCAACCACGCAAGTCTCACCCATTATTCACTCATGTGCCCCAAATTCCTCTGACATATTCTTTAATTCCCGTTTCCAAATCTTCGTAGCCTTCAACCCTATATCCTGGCCCAATGCCCCAGTTCTTACATCTCGGATTCCTGCCCTGACTCAATCCAAGCTCCCATGCCCTGCATTCTATCAGGCGCTGTACCACCCTCAAGTCCTCCTCCTTCCTCCCTCCAACCTCCTGTGTTGCTTTCAAACCTTTGCCAGGTCTCTTCTTTTAGCTAACAAGATGCTGCTTTCTACTGATTCCCTCAGGAACCTGTCCTTCGGTTCCTCCAGATCCTGTTCTGGAAATCCCTCTCTCTCTTTAGCAATGAAATTCTGCTTTCTCTGATCTCAGATCTTGTCTCTCTCTTCAAATTCCTATCGCCCCCAGATTTCCTCCAAGCTCTTGAGATTTCTCACTTCAGATCTCATCAAGGCCTCCCAAGCTCATTATATATCTGAAACTGGGCGCCTAGACCCTTCCAGGTGTCTCAGATTCTTTCCTATCTCCAGAAGCTGCACCCTGTCTCTCCACTGGGCCCCTACATTACCTGATACGTCCCGAGACGCTGCCACTGAGAATCTTCGAACAGCCCCTCGCTCCCCTCCCCCTGCTGCATCTCCTCGTCTCCTCAGCCCCATGGAATCCCTCCCCAGCAGCTTGCTCCTCACAGCCCCACCCCCACCGGCTCTGCCCCTTAGATCCAGTCCTTAGACCTTGCCATTCGGGCATGCGCCCCTTCCCCCGCAGCTCAGCTAACACCCGCGACTACCTCCGCAGACCCTAGTCCCCGACCCTCCTTCCCGCCCCCTACCTGACCGCCCGCGGCTCCGACGAGTCCACCGCAGCCAGCCCACCCGCCCGCCGCCCTATGCGCCTGCGCCAAGGCGCTCCCCGTCTTCAGGCTCCAATTCGTAGAGTCGCCTGTCTGTCACTTCATTCCCGCCCTCTCCCGGAGGATTCTGGGGCTTGTAGGCCTTCGAGATTGGCGCTCGGGTCTGAGTGGCTGGAGGGGCCGGAGGCACCGGAGGTGGCTGAGGTGCCCTATCTCGTCCACTGCTGAAGGCCTTCGCATGGCTAAAGCAGCTTCGCACAAGTGACGAAAGTGGGCAGAAGGGATCTGCCCAAGTTCTCTCGGCAAGTTGGAAGCCAAGCTGGAACCCAAAGGTCTGACGCGGTCTCAAAGTCTTAACCCCTTCACTGAACTGTAACCTCTAGGAGTATTCCTCAAAAGACGCTGGGCACCTTGCCTGAAGGCCTCTCTGAGCTTCAGCTTTCCCGCCCGGGAGATGGGGCAAGGGAGGACATGCACAGAACCTGGGCTGTATTCACTGTCTTCAAAAGGCAGTGCTTTTGGGGCTGGGGGTTTAGCTCAGTGGCGTAAGCGCCTGCCTTGCAAGCAGGCAGTCGTGAGTTTGATCCCTGGTACTGATAAAAACAAAAAAGGAAAAAAAAAAAAAAAAAGTTAAAAAAAAGGCAGTATTTGTGCCACTAACACTCCCCGTTCTGGAGACTCGATCTGAGAAGTGAATTGTTGCTGAGGAATCTTTTGTCTACACGGCTAGAAGATCTGCCGCAGAGGTAGACTTGGAAGAACACTGTAGCCCCCTGTGCCTGCAGACTGAAGCTATCCAGGAGCCCAAATTCTCAGTCTAGCCCCGGGGAGTGGGGCAGGAGGGAGCCTTACTTACCAGATGGGAGGTGGTGCTTGCTGCTTGGCCAGGACCTGCAGTCCCTAAAGTAGTTTGAGGTTAATCACCTGCTCATATAGTGTAGTTTAGGAGCACAGAAGAGTCTGAAGTACTATAATCTCTGCTTGGTTGTGATATTTCACATCGCAACGCGACCCTGCACAATGATTAAACAAAAACAATAATAAAACTAATTCTTCAAGGGCTAAGAGGACCTATCTCTACATTACACTGGGAAAGCTCATTTAATCATCATAGCAACCCTTTAAAATAGGGTGGCTGATACCTATGTGATTAAATAACAAGGTCAAGAGTTCCTAAATGTGAGAACCTAGATGTAAAGCCAATTCTGAGAGCCATGCAGGGTACCCAATGCATTTAATCCCAGCAATTTAGGAAGCTGATGCAGAAGGATCAGAAATTTGAAGATACTGTGGGAAACTCAGTGAGACCTTCCTTCAAAATGATGCTTTAAAAGAGCTGAGAGTATAGTTCAGTGAGAGAGCATATGGCTAGCTTGTGCAAGAAAGTGGGTTCAATCCCCAATGCCTCAAAATCAAGGAAAAACAAACTATGTAAACTGAACTCTTGAGAATTCTTTTAGCCTTGTTTTGTCTCTAAACAAAAATAGGATTTGGTATGAGAACTAATCAAGATCATGACTGATTTTCACTTAATTATTGATAACTTAAAACACTGTAACTAGTTCTTACATATTCTGGGCTGCTGGTTCCATAATTCTCAGCCTGCAGCGTTTTAGACACTAGACAAGAGGTTTGAATGACATGGCCCTTGGAGCAGAGCACTGGACTCTGTACTCCTTGATTGAAAGCCTTGACAATAGACTTGCAATTCAGAGCCGTCTGGGATTTCATCAGATAAACCTTGAATAGTTTTAGTGAAAATTGGACTGAGATGAGATCCCAGTTGGGGACTGAAGGACTTAGAATACACTGAAATTGGCAACTGATGGATACAGAGAGAACTGTGGAAAGACAGATGAAGGGCCTTCTGCTTTCCCAACGTTCTTGTGCTCCTAGTAACTCTTAAGTGTTTACTGCATGAAGACTTGCAGTTTGATGATTTCTTATAAAACATACTGGTTGGATTTTAATTATCCATTACCTATCATTTTCACCAGTGAGCTGTAAATTTCCTGAAGGACATTGCCCATGTGCAGTCACATCTGTTAACATAACACTCAACTCAGCATGAAAGTAAGATTTGCTGAGTAAATGAGTCAGATGGAAATGTGACCGTAGCCGAATCACAGTTCTTTTACCTGGAGTTATTCTAGCAGCCAAATGAGTCAGTGGGATCAGTCATGTAAGAGTTGGCCATTTATTGAGCATCATTAATATGTCAGACACATCACAGTCTCCTTAGCAATTCCTTAAGTAGAGACCAGTAACTTCATGTTGCAAAAGAGGTAACGGGAAGATTAAATGGCTTGCTTAAAGCCAACATCTAGGAAGTGGGAGAGCTAAAGTGTAAAGCCAGGCCCATTAGCCTATGACAAACTCAGAACTACCAGCCCAGAACTACCAGTATTTAAGGGCACGATCTGTCTTTCCATTTTATTGAGTAAGATTTACAAGATTCAAAAGAGAAAAGAAATAGTAATACTTACGAAATCAGGGACTGCCTGGCACATTTTGGCTATCACGTGATGTAATTTTCGCAAGACAGTGATTGCCTCAAACTGATCTGAGTATTAACCCCAGAAGAGTAGGAAACGCTATCTTCCTTGGATTTCTACCATGTTGGAAGTTCAATTTGGTTTATCCCACTAGAAAGGCAGGAGCCTCTGGATAGGGATCTGGGTCCAGCTACTCTATTACAGATGAGAGATATGGGAGAGTTATTGTCCAATGTTTTTTAACTTATTCTTCCTTCTCAGACTAGGAAGACACACACATATATATTGATGTCTTCCCAATCACAGAGAAGAATTAATGGTTCTCCTTAAAGTCTTAGGGTAAAACTACTGTTTATGTTTAAAAATTTCACTACTCTCTTAAAAAATAATGGCTATTTATATGACTATCTTTTTTAATAATTAAATTACTTACCAATTGAATTAATTACCATATGTCTCATGAAAATTTCAGAGTAAAATAAATACTCTGGGGATCCGTATTCATTTTTTATACGGTAGCTTTCTACATGCTGGCACAATATTAACATTCTTATTAGACATTTTAAAAATATTCTTTGTGGAGTTATTACTTTTTATTCAACATTTTAATATAATTGTTTTTCATTTAACATTTAAACAACCTGTATCAGTTTCTTAGGAAAAATAACAAATTGCCACAAACTAGGTGGGCTTAAAACAAGTCAAATTTATTCTCACAGTTCTGGAGTCTACAAGTCTGAATCCATGGTGTAGGCAAGGCCGTGTTCACTCCAAAGCCTTTTGAAAGATCCTTGCTTACTTTAGCTTCTGGTGGCCTCGGGCATTCCTTGGTTGGTGAACACCAGTCATACTGGAGTAAGGGGCTGTGCCGTTCCAGTATGAATTCACCTTGACTGATTACATCTGTCACATTCTTAATTCCAAATAAACTCACATTCAATGTCCAAGGAGTTAGGCCTCTAACACATCATTTTTGGGGGACCCAGTTGGCTTTGTTTCTGGAAAAGATCTGTGGTTTTCTTCTACTTTAAAGGGCTCCCCAAGTCACAATGTTGTTAGGAACCAAATGAGATGTTAGATATAAAATGCTTAGTATTTTACTTAACATGTACTTTTAATATTCATTATATTGTATTTGTTATTATTAAAATAAGTTAGGCCAGATTTGGTGGTGCACACCTGTGATCTCAGCACTCTGGAGCTAAGGCAGATTTGCAGTAAGTCCCAGGCCAGCCTACACTACATGGTGAGTTCAGTGGCAGCCTGATCTATACATCAAGATAAACAAACAAATAAACAAAATCCAAAAAACAAAACAAACAAAAAAGTTTGCTTACTAAGCACACCATTGTATAGAAAGAAGGTTTGGTAATCAGATAAATCTCTAATTTCTGCCACCTGGGAGGTACTTTTGGATGGATGAGAAGATGATTTAAAGTAATGCTTAGTAACTTATTGGAATAGATAAAGCATTGTAACCTAGGGCAATTTAGCATCTTTGCACACCATTTTTATCCTCTTATAAAATGGGGATAGTAATAGTTATCTATTACATAGAAATGTAAGTATTAAATGACTCAGTAGATCTAAAAGGCTTTGAGTCCTACCTGATAAAGAATAAGTGCTCTGTGAATGTTAACTGTTATTGTCATTAATAGTATTGTTACTAATATCATTACTATCTTCATCAAAATAGTTTCTTTTAGTCTCTCATTAGCAACTTATATATGAGGCAGAAGAATATTTTGCTTGTAGCATAAAAGGCAGAAAATGTTAGGAATTTAAGCTCTCATATATCCTAACCAATTCTTTCTGAATCTAGAGGTTTACAATTACTGTAATTTTTATGAAACAATGAAAAGTTATACAGAGATATCCCTTGTTTAACAACCTACCTGTTTAACGACTTGACTTGTAACAAGGAGCTCTGTTTGGACTTACTACCTGCTGCTTGGATTTACAACCCACATTCAGACTGGGGTTATGATACAGGAAAATAGATGACAGGGTGGCCTTATGGTGGCTTCTTCTACAGTACAGTACTGTGAGTTTTGCTGGTCATTCTATATAGTACTATAATTTGTGTTCTGTTACCGAATACTGCATGTAAGAGTTACATAAATAAAAGCAATGTCATCAAGTTGAAGTTTTCTTTGACTATTTCTTTGTTCTGAATATTATATATGCTGTGTATATGTAATTCCTCATTAGTGACCAATTCATTTAATGACCTAGTTGCAGAAACGGAACCTGATGATTAAAGCAGGAATGTCAATATCTTTGTACCTGTATTACTAATCGGTCACTGCATAGTAAATAACTCTCAAAACCTTGCTACTTAAGCAACTCATACTTAATATTTCATAGCTTCTATGATTTAGAAATCTAAACACCGTTTAGATGGGTTCTTTGCTTCACAGTGTCTTACAAGACTTAAATCAAGTTATTGACTAGGACTGAAGTCGCATCTGGAGGCTTGACTGGGAAGTATCATTTCTAAGATTACTAAAGTAGGTGATTAGATTCAGTTAGGACTAAGGGTCTCTGTTCCTTGATGACTTTAGTGTGGCTTCTGCTCTTGGTTCCTTGCCACATGAGCTACTCTGTTATTAATTCATTTCATTAAAGCC